CTAATTTCGTGTTTAGTTGGAAAATTAATCTCTTGGGTGTCGGCAACTAGAGGGATTCAACCTCACATTTGGAGGCTAGATTGAATTCTAGTAACTTTTGGGAGTTGTAATCTGGGGGTTGTAATGTTGGGACCCTGTCAAGGTTTTTTCCTTGGGGGATCCCTTTGTATCTTATTTCAATATCAATAAAACTTTACCCTACCTTTTCTCAAAAAAATGTTTAGGTTTTAATTTCTTAATTCCTACCAAAAAAAATAATTTATAATTTTAATTTATCTTGTAAAAATATCTTTTATAGGATGAATGAATGAACAACAGTAGAAAATAGGGGGTTTTGGAGCTTTGGTGAGTAAAGCCAGCAAATCACTGCCAGCTTACCAATTTCTAGTCCATTCAGCTCTAATAGTAAGATTTTCAATCTTAATTCATATGCAGTAATCTATTAAGTACATTTCATAATTTCCTACTATCTATTATTTGATTTTAAGGGTTTGCAGAGTATCATTTCTACTCTATAGCAATATAAAAGTAGTCTGAGGTTCGTCTGAAGACAAAAAAAAACTGTTTTACAAGTACACTATTTAACATAAATTGTTGTTTACTCACAATTTCTATCAATCTAAGTCACAGAAAACCCAACTACAGTAAGTTCTCTATTTTGGACATAACTGGATCATTATAATTTGGGGAAAAAAGATCCATGGAACTAAGGTCAAGGGTCCCTAGACCTCTCCTTGCAATGGTGCCCATATGCCATTAAAATTGCAAACATTCTCATTATTCCAGGTTACCAGAAAAATATGAAAGGGATAGTAAATTGCAGAAAGATACCAGTATCAGTGATTTTCACTAGTATGGGATTAAATGAAGATGCCATGCATTATGAACATAATAAAAATATATATATATATAAAACTGTTTTATGGCATACAAATTATTGGACACGTTACAAGTGACGAGAAAATACACAGATTATAAATAAAGATAAAAACCTGCATCCCACATTCTATAGAAATGGTACGAGAAGTGGATTCACCAAATAGCATTTTTGGAAGCCAAAAACCAAGAGCAAATGCAGCAGAATGTAGAATATCCATAGGAACTATTAGAGCAATAATGATCTATTTTTTAATAATTAATGTAAATATATTGTGAAGTGAGCATATTTTGATTACCTCCAATGACAGTTGGCACCAAAACAACTTGGAAAGACAACATAACTGTTTTTAAACTTAAACTAGTAGACAAAAGGCAATTATCAATGATCGGATCAAACTTGCTTGTAAGAGATAAAGGAAAGTTTATATTCCGTTAGGAAGAATGTAAGCACAGTCCACATACTGTTTGATGGGGCCTAACTAGGAAGTTCTTTAGAATTGGAAGATTTAACAGTTTCTCTTTCTTCCTTTTCTTTCTAGTAACTGACCAGAGAAATTTGTTGAAACAATAGAAAAAGAGTACAAAAAATAAAGGAAAACTCAAACTGTAAAGAAACAACTGAGCTAGCCATGGATAATCTAGCTCAACTCCCAAAACATAACCACATAAGAGATTAACCCAAGCCTAAAGAACTACCCCATTGAGACCCCAAATACAAGTCAGATGCATATTCATAAGCCCTTTCTATCCAAAAAACCTACTAGAGTATTTGCTGATCTTTGAACCTAAGCCTAGAGTTCGCTTTAACACTACCGAATGCAGAGTTGTAATCTGGTGAAAGTGAGCATAAAAAAATGAATACGACAGAGAGAGAGGGAAAGAGAGAGGGAGAAGAAGAAGAAGAAGAGGGATAGAGAAACTCACTGTTATCGCATGATAATCTTTTCCAAAATTGACAAACGGAGTGCTAATATAAGGGGGATCTTTGTCAGAATCTAAAAGTTCAGGGGGTCTTTTGTGGAGAATGAAAGTTCAGGGTGATTGCCACTACCCTGAAGTTCAGGCTATTTTTCTGTAATTTACCAAAAAAAAGAAACAAATAATTTTCTCCATGTGCATTGATTGATGATTAATTAGGTAATATCAAAACCAAATAACTCACCAATAGAGTTTGGTGGAACTGTAAGGGGGCTGGGAGGCTAGCTGCACGGAATTAAATTTCTCATGTCCACTCAGTCTCGAGAGTGGTTGGTAATTGGCCACAACGGTTCGGTCAAGCACGTGATAGTTGATACCCCATCTACCACTTGGATAATTATATTAAGAAGCCATTCAGTGTCCTTCCCTCACATCAGTTCTTAGCACCTCAACCTCAAGCCGGCCACCAGCATCTTCAGCAAGGGCCTGCCACTAATTAATCCTTCAATTCTCTCTCAGCTAGCTCAGGCGAAAATGGTGACCGTGGAAGACATCCGCAAGGCACAGAGGGCTGAAGGCCCGGCCACGGTGATGGCCATTGGAACAGCCACTCCGCCCAACTGTGTCGACCAGAGCACATACCCTGACTACTACTTCCGGATCACCAACAGCGAGCACAAGACAGAGCTTAAAGAGAAATTCAAGCGCATGTGTAAGTATCACTATATTTCTGTCGTGTCGGTCACCCGCAATTGGCTCCGACCGGTCGGAAGCCATTGTCCCTGTGCCATGGCATCTGATCTATATTTGTCTCATAACTAGTGATGAGCTTGTTTCCTAACATAGACAAATTAGGGGTACGTTCCCTAATTGAGTTTGTTAGTCATATTTTGGGTGAACTAGTCAAAATAAACAGACATTCTTTTAATCAGAAACCACACAAACCATCATTCATTTAATAACTGCCTAAATATAAGTACAACTTTTGGTCTGCCCACAATATATCCTTGCTTTATTAGTTTGTAATATCTTCCTCTATGATTTCACTCCAAAGAAATAATTGAAACCTGTGAAATTTTTTAGATCCCAGCAGATTTCACTCCATTTTATTTTTGAATTTGACACCGAGGGTCTGGCAGAAATTAAACACATTATAAGTAGATTTGACCGTGTTCTATATGAGTTTGACAGCTTCCAGAGAAGTTGGTCACTGCCAATATAATAGCTTAATCAGAGAGAATTGAATCTTGAAGCAGCAGACTCAATGATCCGGCTGAGTTTTGCACATTAAACTGTCATTGTTACGTTTTTTCCCAAGACACTAATTGTGAAGTGCACTACTGCAGGCGAGAAATCGATGATCAAGAAGCGCTACATGCACTTGACGGAGGAAATCTTGAAGGAGAACCCGAACGTCTGTGCGTACATGGCGCCCTCGCTGGATGCTAGACAGGACATGGTGGTGGTTGAGGTGCCAAAACTGGGCAAGGAGGCTGCGACGAAGGCCATTAAGGAATGGGGACAGCCCAAGTCCAAGATCACCCACCTTGTCTTCTGCACCACCAGTGGCGTCGACATGCCCGGGGCTGACTACCAGCTCACCAAGCTCCTCGGCCTTCGCCCCTCCGTCAAGAGACTCATGATGTACCAACAAGGATGCTTCGCCGGAGGCACGGTCCTTCGCCTGGC